CGGATCCTTGTGATTCAAGTGTAGCATCTTTATATATCAACACGATTGTCTATTGTCGTTACTGTTCTATATTTATTACAAGCTTTAAGTAAAATACACTACAAAAAGAAAAGACAAAATATTTACAATGGCACACAATAAGAACAAAAACACACATTATTTTATAGTCAAACTATAAATCTAATAAGTTCATCGTTGAGAAATAAATAATGAAAGCACTGTCTCTCTACATTAGAAAATACGTACCTTCATAGTTCATTGTTTTCATCTTCATCATATGGAACTGAGAAATGTTCAATTATTGTTGAAGTTGTTCATTTGCTGTTATTGATAAATTTTCTAAATTCGATCTTTGGGTTTCATTGCTCACTGTTTTATTTTATTAAAATCCATCTGTTCATGAATTTGTAGATTTTTTTGTATAAAGATAGTATGAAGAACTCTAGTTGACTGGCTTCAATAAAAAAATTCACATTGCCTCAGAAGGTATCATTTAACAATCGCCATTCCCTCGCATCCATTACTTTATTAAGTTAATAATATTAATAAAATTTCATAGAACACTATTTTTAATAAAAATTTGAATTAATTTTATAGCAATTCAACATTTTCATTCTTATTCAGAAGAATTGATCGAAACGTGTTAAATTTTCTGAATATATCATTTCGATATATTCTTTCTTTTTTTTCCTTCTATTAATTATTTTTATAGTTACAAAAGAATGAACGTGCATTTAAAGATTGGTTTGATAAAGAATCATCTGATTTATCATCATTACCTGAAACATATGAAAATTTAAATATTTTTCATCGATTTTTATTTGCTCGATGTATATCACCAGATCGAACAATATCTGAAGCACGAAATTATATTCAAGATAGTCTTGGAATAAAATATTCAGAAATTCCTGTACTTAATTTAGAATTAATATGGGAAGAAAGTGATTATAAAACATCATTACTTGGTTTACTTTCATCTGGTGCTGATCCAACATCAAATATTCAAACATTAGCAAAAAAGAAAAATATTGATTTATTTATTGTATCTATGGGACAAGGACAAGAAATACTTGCACGACGTTATCTTCAACAAACAATTACATTAGGAGGATGGCTTTTATTACAAAATGCACATTTAGGTTTAGATTATCTTGAAGAATTTTATGAAAGTAAATTTTTAATTTTATCTTCTAATATTAATCATTATTTTTAAGCTCTTATTGCAATGGATACATTTTATCCATCATTTCGTGTGTATGTAGTATTCTTTTTTGATTTTTACAACAACAAAAAAAAATGTGTTGTTTTTTTAGTTGGTTAACAACTGAAACTCATTCACAATTTCCAATTCAAATTCTTCAATCATCAATTAAATTTACAAATGAATCACCACAAGGTGTAAGAGCTGGTCTTAAACGTACTTATGGATTAATTAATCAAGATAAACTTGAATATATTGAAACAATCTATTGGCGTCCATTATTATATGCTACTTCATTTCTTCATAGTATCGTACAAGTATTTATTATAAAAAAAAAGATGTTAAAGTTTTATCTTTAATAAATATTCTTTTTTTGTATTAGGAACGTCGAAAATTTGGACCATTAGGATGGAATATTCCATATGGTAAACAATATTTTGTTTTCTATTTAAATTTATTGTGAAACACGATCTGAAAGGAGTGTTGAAGTAAATAGGGTAGAAATTTGCACCCACCCCCACAGGCCGTAGCAGATAACGCCTGAACCCATCACAGACATCTTAATTAATTAACCAATCACTAATTAGTTAACTAATTAACCAGTAATTGGTTAATTACTATTTAATTAAATAATTAACCATCACAGACTGTGACAGACAGGGTTTGGAAACCATCACAGATCATGACAGACACCTCTCATGGGTCGTCACAGCGCGTAATAGTCACGTTCAAGAGATTATCAGACGTTATGTATAACTAACATCCAATTGAAGTATTCATGAAATATTTCCTTTATGAAGTTCTACGCTGTAAATTTAGTAAAGCTGATGGAATATGCCCAGTACACTTAAAAAAGATCAGTTTTTACGAAATCAGTAACAATAGGTATATCGTGTTTCACATTTTAATCCCTCAGGAACTACGCTAATAACTTTTTTGATATTATAGAATTCAATCAAACGGATTGGGAAGCATCTGTACAATATATTCAAAATCATTTAGATGATATGAATCCAAAATTAGTATAAATATTTTTTTTCTTTTTGTACTAAAATAAGTTTTATTAATTTCTTATTATTAAAGAATATATCATGGAAAGCTCTTCGATATATGATATCAGAAATTCAATATGGTGGTAGAATAACTGATGATCGTGATCGTCGTTTAATGATTACTTATGCTAAAGTATATTACTTTTTTTTTCTTTCTATTAATCTATTTGACGTGGTTTTTTTTCTACTGATAGAAATGGTTTAATGAATTATTATTTTCATCAGATTTTAAATTTTATGATGGTTATTCAATACCAAAAGTCAAACGTCTTGATGAATACATTGATTATATTGATAAATTTCCATTAATTGATCCACCACAAATATTTGGTCTTCATTCTAATGCTGATATAACATATTCAACAAATCGAACGAAATCTATGCTTGAAAAAATTGTTCATATACAACCAAAAGAAGCAAGTTCAAATATATCTGGTGGTGGTGAAACACGTGATAAAATTGTTTATAATCTTGCAAATGATATGTTAATCAAATTACCAAAGGACTTTATACAGCATGAAGTATATTTTTTAGGGGAAAATTTTGTAAATTTAGATATCTTTCTCTTCACAAATAGGTACGAGAGAAATTAAAAAATATGGGTATATTAAATCCAATGATTATATTTTTACGTCAAGAAATTCATCGAATTGATCGTGTTATACGTACTGTACGAAATTCTTTAAATGATTTACAATTAGCTATTGATGGAATAATTATATTGAATGATGTAAGATGAAAACTTTTTAAGGATGTAATTTTTAAACGAAAACTAATTGTAGTCTTTACGTCAAATACTTGATTCAATCTATGATGGTCGTGTTCCAATTGATTGGGTTAGTTGAAATTATAGATAGATTTTTATCTATTTGTTTTTCATTTTAGGCAAGATATTCATGGGAAAGTAGTACTCTTGGTTTTTGGTTTTCAGAATTACTTGATCGATATACTCAATATAATAATTGGTTAAATTATGGTTTGTCAAAAGCAAAAAAAAAAAACTTATTTTTTTTATTGTTATTCTTTCGATAATAGGTCGACCTAAATGTTTTTGGATGACGGGCTTCTTTAATCCTAACGGTAATAAAGAACTTGTTTATAAAGATAAATCTCAAATGCATTCGTCAAATCATATATTCACAGAAACTTTTTGTAATTTTTACAAAAAACAACAGATTTAATGCCTATATAAAAAAAATAATCAGTACTGTTCAAAATATTGAATGTATCGTTACTCATTGTTGCCTAAAAATAGAACATTAGACATTATTAGTATGAAATAGTTAGTGAAAGACTTTCGAGAAAAGCCTGTTAGATAGGATCTGAATTTGGTTTGAGGTCGATACCATCTGAGAAACGCAATGTCTAAGATAATATCTGATTTTCTTTTCCTTTTTTGATAGGTTTTCTTACAGCTATGCGACAAGAAGTAACAAGAATGCATAAAGGATGGTCACTTGATACTGTAACAATCGATAATATTGTTCTTCGTTCATATAAGGATGATATTCGAGAAGCACCAAATGAAGTAAAAAAATTTAATAATCTAAAATATCTGATTGCATTTTTCTTTTTAAGGGTGTTTATGTGTATGGTCTTTATTTGGAAGGTGCTGGTTGGAATCGAAAAAATACTCGTCTACATGAATCACAAAATAAAGTTGTTTATGTTCAAATGCCTGTTATTCATATATTTGCTATAAATCCATCTGTAACTAATCAAACAAATGGAATAGTTACAAATAAAAAATTACGATTAAATCAAATATCACTTCGAACAAAACGAAATGATCAAATTTCAATTGCACCATATATTTATATGTGTCCACTCTATAAAAAACCAATACGTACTGATCTTCATTTTATAATTATGCTTAAATTAGCATCAAATGATATACCTGAACATTGGATATTACGTGGTGTTGCTTTACTTTGT